TTTTCATTGACTATTTTTTTTTTTTTTTTTTACAATTCATTTATTTAATTTGGATTCAGTTCCTATATTAATTTGAATCATTAGGCCTAGTTGTAATACATTTGAGTTATATATCAGCCTAAGCAAAGCAAATCTTGTGGGACTTTGTCGCCACCTACTGCTCTAAACATAATACTACGTGGTAACATCGATGGGACAAATAATGAATTATTTTATGAATGAATTTAGGCTAGTGACAACAACTTAACAGTAACGTTACAGTACAAGAACACTTATAGACTCTACAGTCAAATAAGCAATGGGGTCTGCAATAATGACTTAATAACACAGCACATTATCAGAAATGTTTAAAACGGCCTATTCGTTATTCAGAATAAGTGTTCATCACTTGACAACCAGGAAATTATATGGTGGTCTCGTGTTTCAGGTCTCAGGATTCCATTCACACAGAGACATTGCATCCATAAAATCAAACCACGTGGGAAGTTTTGTGTTTTTGTAAGCATGTTATTTCCCCCCCCCCCCCCTCGACTTCACGTGGAGCCAGTGTGATTATGTGGCCGGTTCACGCCCTCAACAGTGCTCTTTTGTGCCTGGGAACAGAGCAATCCTTCAGGGCAACACCGTAGGAAGCCTGGTGGATGTTTAGAGAAGATGTGGGAGCTTTTCTTTGGTTTTCTCCCCACTAGCCAGAAAGAAACTGTTCATGAATACACAAATAAGAAGTGAAAACCTGGGGCTTTGGGAGGGGTAGTATTTTCTTGCCTGAAAACTGTCCATATTTCTGTTCTGGCATGGATCCTGTTCCATACTCAAATTGTGTTTTTTGTTCCCTCTAGACTTCTGAGAAGCTACCATGGACCAGGCAATGTCGACAATATCCAAAATTGTAAGTACTAGGCCTAGGCCTACTCTTGAAATAAATTACCCTAGCATTTATTAAATGACTGTCTCATTATCCTGTCTAAAAATGGTCGCAAATCAAAAGCATTCCTCTTTTGAATGTGTTTTTTTAAATGGTTGCTTTTAGTTTCGGTTGACGGATACCTGCGCCACCATTTTTCTAAATGTTAGTAAAATGGGTCCGCCTCAGAAACTTGCCAATTGGGCTCTTTACTTTTTAAAGTGGTTCAGTGATTCCAGAAGCAAAGGGTGTAATGCTGCTACCTCTCATTCCAACCAAGGTGCATGAATAAAGGAGCAAACTGGAAATGTGAAGAATGGGCTAACTTCAGAAACTATTGGAGGTCAATTGACATTATACCCTGATGAATGCTACAAACCAAAAAGCATTGGTTTTATTAAGGCAATGAAACAAACGTTTTTCTTCAGTTACTATGGCATCTGCTTTTAGTAGGGCTGGTCTAGAGGAAGTAATGCGTTATGTTTTATACTGATTTGACTCAATAAATGTTGTAACACAATGGCTGCGTTTACACAGGGAGCCCAATTCAGATCTTTTGCCTGATTTATTGGCAAAAGATCTGATCCGATTGGTCAAAAGACACATTTTTGGCAAAATATCAGAATTGGGCTGCCTGTGTAAACGCAGCCATTGTGTTGTTAAGCGGCAGACATTATGCACACCTCTGACACGTCGACGTATGGACACGTACGTACTATATTACTACACTAGAGTATAATTAGACATAATGCTAATAGTACTATACACTATGGAATTGCCAGGGACAGTACGATATCATCACGATACGTAGGTGCCGATACGATATGCATTGCGATTCTCACGATTCTATGTGTGTTGCAATTCAATGTTCCAAACATATTGCTCACCATATCTCTGCAGATGGACAAGAGAGAGCCATGAAAAAATGAGTTTTGATCAGTCACGGAAATAAAAGGGCTGAAAACAAATTGCCTCCCTATTTAGGGAGAAGAAGCCATGAAGGAAAAATGCCTGAGTTTTTGTTGCAGTTACAGACGACTAACTCAAATAATATTGCAATATTGTCAGATAATATTGCGATATATCGGCAAAGAATAATATCCCGATTTTAGGGCTGTCAAACGATGAAAACAATTAATCGCATTAAATTCTGTAGTTAATCGCGATTTAATGGCAAATGTTTTATTTGTTCAAATTTGGTGCTAAATAAAGTTACAGGCATGTAGGGACTGAAACACAACAAATATTCTGGCAGTACAAAAGTCCTGTAACTTATTAATGCTCCCAGTAGGCCTACTCCCTTATACATTTTCTTTAAGTTCACACACACACTGTTAAAGCTTCAGCCATTCCAAATTATTGTTCTCCCAATTACTGATTGGAGGCTATAAGAAAAAAATAACTGTCTCTATGGATACACAGAACATAAACCTGTCCAACAATGTCATGAAAGTAAACCTGTGACCATACACTTCAGTCGTCCTCCTATTTCTTTTCACTCAGGCCTGTTGACATTTTCAGATGAAAAATGTGGTTGATTTCACAGAGAGTGAAAACAACCCCTCACAAGGTACTGATGTGGCAGGTGTTGCCAGGTAACCTCGTGCCATGCAGGCCAGCCTGGTGTGTGACCACCACTGTAGTGGACAGTCCTCCCTGTTGATGCTGGGCTCTGCTTTGTAACGCTCCACCACATTTCTCAATGGACTCCTCCTCTTCATCAGACTCAGAAGACCTCAACAAGAGGGCAGCTTTCTTCTTTGGTGGCTCTGACTCTGTTGCTTTATCAGGTTGCTGTGCAGGCCTCTCTTCCTTTTAGCGAGTTGCTGACCCAAAGCCCTCTCAGGTCTGGGAAGGCACTTCAGGTCCTTAAACCTTGGGTCGAGGGCTGTGACGATTTTCAGACATGTGAGGTTGGTGTGTTTTTCCAGGTCTGTTGTGAATGTTAGCTTGAATCTTACTACATAGGCAGGATCATCATCGGAGCGCTCCATCACCCGAAGGAGATGCACAAAGCAGGCAACGCCACTGAGCAGGAAATGTACTTCTCTCCTCCCAGAAGTTCAGTCAAGTACCTGCAGTGGAAGATAATTCAAAATCACTTCAGTCAATTGTGAGAGACTTGTTATACACAGACACATTCCCTCACTCACACACACATTACACACACACACACACACACACACACAATTGTATTATAACGCTAATAGTGTGATTAAAGAATATTACCTACAGGGCTGCAGTAGTGTCTTCAGTTCAGCTGTGGTTGGCATGGTGATGTTCGTTTTCTGTTGGGCCAGAGCATTTCTTAGTGGTTGTTGGTTTCTGTGGACACGCTTTACCATTTCCAGAGTGGAATTCCATCTTGTTGTGACATCTTGTTTCTAGTGACTCTTTCACAGTTACAACTTGCAGTTGTCCTAGCTCTGCAACGTTTGGTGGGCTGTGTTTTGAAATGGCCAATAATCTTTCGGCATTTGGCTAGGGCATTGTTGAACCCGCTGTTGTGTAGGTACACTGTGATGGACCTTTTGGAGACTGTGCGCAGGGCAGGTGTTCAAAAGCCAGATGTCAAGCAGTTGCAATCATGTTCCGTGCACTGTCTGTGCAAAGTGTGGTAACTTTGTTTTTTCAATGTTCCACTGCTTTGCTACATCCATGAAATCCTCGGCGCACGTTTCAGCGTAGTGCCTGTCTTCATTACGGCCAGAGCATGTGAATGCAGTTTCCAGTTTTCATCGATGTGGTGGGCAGTAACCCCTAGGTAGTTTGTGGCTACTTCTTACCGAAGTCCAGTGGTCTCCCGTGAGAACAACAGCCGTTGCATGTTTCAACTCCCCCGCTTTCGTAGCCCTCTCGCTTTCATACAGCTCGTGTATTCTTCAAACGACCGTGGTTCTCAAGGGAAACTCCTATGTTGAGTCGTTTAGATGCGATCCAAAGGGTATCCCCTCAAGCCTTCGTCCTCCACAATGTGGACTGGCCTGCATGGTGTAGCTATCCACTTGGCTATTGCTTGTGTTAGCTTGCTGCTCGTGGACCTGTCCATAGGCCTTCCGTGGACACTCTTCTATCTTAGCCTGATGTCCTCCATTGCTACTAGTAACGTAACGCTTTGAACACAGCAACTGCGTCATTGCGCAAAATAGTATGAGGATCATCTAGATATGTGTGCAACAAAAGTTCAACATTCACCTTCTGCTACCATTTCTGTCAACCCATTTACGCATACGGTTTGACGCATACGTTCAATAAATCCAACGTATGCACCACACAGAACGCACTGCCTCCGCAACACAATACTGTTATATACAGACACACATATACTGATGTGTTCGAAGCGTTACTTGTATTGCCGGCATCAACATTTCGCTTGTAAATGACAATGAAGACTAGATCATTGATAAATGAATGTTGTCTTGCAATAGATGCAAATTACTTTGTTTTTACCCAGAGAGCCATCTGGGAGGGATTTTACATTTTAATTTGCCATTTTAAAAGCCCCTTACTAGCTCTAGCCATCATTCAGTCATACAAGTTACTAGCTAGTAAAGTGGTTGTCAAACTAGCGCATCAGCTGCCAGGGCTTGAATTTGAACTATGGATGGTTCAGGGGGTCAAACTAAGAAAATGCGTTAATGGCGTCAATAAAAATGTATGGCATTAAACATTTAACGCGTTAACTTAGACAGCCCTAATCCCGATATGTAACTATAGATTTTTTCCCCCCGTTATCACTACTATACACAGGTGTGGAAAATGAAGAAAAAAACAAAATGGGAACCTATGTTAAAATTACTAAAAATGTACCTTTTTTAAAAACACATTTGTAGAAGTCAAAAGTATTTCACTTGGATGGACTGCTTAATGAGTACAAGAGTGTACTTCTGTGAACTATGAATGCTTGTGTTTATCTCTATGAAATTCTATCCCTATCAATGCACTTCAACATGTTCCAGAAGAGTGTGTGTGTGTGTGTGTGTGTGGGCTTTTGGCTGAATAAAACACACAAAAAATCCTCAAGACATGTGATTTACTGTAAAATGCATTTTGTAACAGTTTTCTTTCCTTCATTCATCCATCTGTCTCCACACAGTTCAATGGGGAGCCGCGCTCGTACACACGCTTCAACCTGACCCAGAACATGGAAGGCGAGAACAGCCAGGTGGAGATGAAGCTGTCGTCCGACATGGACGACGAGGTGGGCGGCAACTGCGTGGGGGAGGAACGCAACCATGCCCAGGACCGCTACGTGGTACGCAAGCCCGCCGGGCGCACGCCCAAGAACCTCTGCTTCATGGTGGTCACCGTATTCCTCATCTTAATCATCGGTAAGAACAGACATTTTAAAACGACGACAGTTGCATGCCGGTGCCTCAGTTACCATTAGTCACATATTGGTCATATACTGTATCAGTAAAAGTCACATGCTAGCATCAAATAGCCCCCGCGATATGCAACTTTTCAGGGAAGTTAGGAACCAATATACACAAGCAGTCAGGAAAGCAAAGGCTAACTTTTTCAAACAGAAATTTGCATCCTGTAGCACTAACTCCAAAAAGTTTTGGGACACTGTAAAGTCCATGGAGAATAAGAGCACTTCCTCCCAGCTGCCCACTGCACTGAGGCTAGGAAACACTATCACCACCGATAAATCTACAATAATCGAGAATTTCAACAAGCATTTTGCTACAGCTGGCCATGCTTTCCATCTGGCTACCACTAACCCGGCCACCAACTCTGCACCCTCTGCTGCAACTTGCCCATGCCCCCCCCCGCTTCTCCTTCACACAAATTCAGACAGCTGATGTTTTGAAAGCGCTGCAAAATCTGGACCCCTACAAATCAGCTGGGCTAGACAATCTGGACCCTTTCTTTCTAAAACTAGCCGCCGAAATTGTCGCAACCCCTATTACTAGTCTGTTCAACCTCTCTTTCATAACGTCTGAGATCCCCAGAGATTGGAAAGCTGCCGCGGTCATCCCCCTCTTCAAAGGGGGTGACACTCTAGATCCAAACTGCTACAGACCTATATCCATCCTGCCCTGCCTTTCGAAAGTATTCGAAAGCCAAGTTAACAAACAGATCATCGACCATTTCGAATACCACCGTACCTTCTCCGCTATACAATCCGGTTTCCGAGCTGGTCACGGGTGCACTTCAGCCACGCTCAAGGTCCTAAACGATATTATAACCGCGATTGATAATAGACAGTACTGTGCAGCCGTCTTCATCGACCTGGCCAAGGCTTTCGACTCTGTCAACCACCGCATTCTTATTGGCAGACTAAATAGCCTTGGTTTCTCAAATGACTGCCTCGCCTGGTTCACCAACTACTTCTCAGATAGAGTTCAGTGTGTCAAATCGGAGGGCCTGTTGTCTGGACCTATGGCAGTCTCTATGGGGGTGCCACAGGGTTCAATTCTTGGGCCGACACTTTTCTCCGTGTATATCAATGATGTCGCTCTTGCTGCTGGTGACTCTCAGATCCACCTCTACGCAGACGACACCATTTTGTATACATCTGGCCCTTCATTGGACACTGTGTTAACAAACCTCCAAACGAGCTTCAATGCCATACAACAATCCTTCAGTAGCCTTCAACTGCTCTTAAACACTAGTAAAACTAAATGCATGCTTTTCAATCGAACGCTGCTAGCACCCCGCCCCACCCGACTAGAATCACCACTCTCGACGGGTCTGACCTAGAGTATGTGGACAACTACAAATATCTAGGTGTCTGGTTAGACTGTAAACTCAACTTCCAGACTCACATAAAGAATCTCCAATCCAAAGTTAAATCTAGAATCGGCTTCCTATTTCGCAACAAAGCCTCCTTCACTCATGCTGCCAAACATGCCCTCGTAAAACTGACTATCCTACCGATCCTTGACTTCGGCGATGTCATTTACAAAATAGCCTCCAACACTCTACTCAGCAAATTGGATGTAGTCTATCACAGTGCCATCCGTTTTGTCTCCAAAGCCCCATACACTACCCACCACTGTGACCTGTACGCTCTTGTTGGCTGGTCCTCACTACATGTTCGTCGTCAAACCCACTGGCTCCAGGCCATCTATAAATCACTGCTAGGCAAATCCCCGCCTTATCTTAGCTCATTGGTCACCATAGCAGCACCCACCCGTAGTCTGCGCTCCAGCAGGTATATCTCTCTGGTCATTCCCAAAGCCAACACCTCCTTTGGCCGCCATTCCTTCCAGTTCTCTGCTGCCAATGACTGGAACGAATTGCAAAAATCTCTGAAGCTGGAGACTCTTATCTCCCTCAATAACTTTAAGCATCAGTTGTCAGAGCACCTTACCGATCACTGCACCTGTACACAGCCCATCTGAAATTAGCCCACCCAACTACCTCATCCCTATATTGTTATTTATTTTGCTCTTTTGCACCCCAGTATCTCTATTTGCACATAATCTCTTGCACATCTAGCATTCCAGTGTTAATACTATTGTAATTATTCTGCACTATAGCCTATTTATTGCCTTACCTCCATAACTTGCTACATTTGCACACACTGTATATATATTTTCTGTTGTATTTCTGACTTTATGTTTTTTTTTTTACCCCATATGTAACTCTGTGTTGTTTTTATTGCACTACTTTGCTTTATCTTGGCCAGGTCGCAGTTGTAAATGAGAACCTGTTCTCAACTGGCTTACCTGGTTAAATAAAGGTGAAATAAAAAAAATAAAAAATGCTCAGTATTAAAGGATACGTTCATGGATAGTTGGTTTCTTCACTCTGAAAGTAGTCTATGGGCCGGTAGAAACTCGAATTAATGTTTCGGGTTTCTTTTAAAAGCCACTAAGAAGTTCTGCTAACTTTAGCCACAGATCGCTAAAACTCAGTGGAGGTGATAGGGGCAACCTGCACTGTCGTATGATTTTATGGATGAAACGCTGTTTAGATAATAAATATAAAAAATGATGACCAGATTAAGGGCCGGATTCCCAGACATAGATTAAGCCTAGTCCTGGACTAAACAGCATTCTCAATGGAGATTCTCCATCAAAAGCTTTTTTTTTTTGTCTGGGAAAAACCGTCCCTTGGTCTGGTTTCTGCTGGGATGGTGTTGTATAGCTGCTGCTGACAGTGGTTTCATTTGATAATTTACTCGATTCCCCCTTTTACTCTGTCTGTCTGTCTCTGTCTGTCTGTGTCTGTGTCTCTCTCTGTCTCTGTCTGTGTCTCTCTCTCTCAGGCTATCTGATTGGCTACCTGGCCCACCGGAAAAAAGAGTTGGCTCCCAGCTGCTCTAGGATAACCTCTGAAGACTCCGTTAGTGAAGGTTCCTTTAAGACGGAGACGACCCCTCTCATGGACTGGAATGACGTGAAGAGCTTGCTGGGTCAGAAGCTGAGTGCCTCCAGCTTCGAGACCGCATTCAGGTGACTTCACTAGTCTAGCCCAGTGGGGTGAACATTAAAGGGATATCGATCTCCCCAGAGTCGGATGAATTCGTGGATACCATTTCTATCCATGAGTTCATCTGACTCTGGGGAAAGTAGATAAAGGGCTTCATTGCCAACATCCCAAAGTATCCCTTTAAGCTTGTTTTGTCTGCTCTCATTTTTCAACTTTATATTGGAAATAGCACTACAATGTTATACTAATACCAATTGTACTATGTTGTGACAGTATGGCAGCCTGACCAACTTCTACCCCTCTAAGCCATAAGACTGTTAAATAGTCCGGATAGCTATTGGTTGACTATCTGCGCTGACCCTTTTTGCACTCTTTTGACTCATCACATGCGCCGCTGTTGCTGTTCATTATCTATCCTGTTGCCTAGTCACATTATCCCTACCTGTATGTACATACTGTATCTACCTCCATTACCTCGTACCCCTGAACATGGACTCGGTACTGGTACCCCGTGTATAAAGCCAAGTTATCGTTACTCATTGTGTATTTATTCCTGGTGTTTATCTTTCTATTAGTTCTCTGTTTTTCTCTCTGTATTGTTGTGAAGGTCCGTCAATAAGCATTTCACTGTTAGTCTACACCTGTTGTTTATGAAGCATGTGACAAATAACATTAGATTTGAAGTCTTAATAAATGACTAGATAACATGTTTGGCACATCATTGGGATAAAGAAAGTATATTTAGCTTACTGACTCCTTTTTCCTGTCTCTCTTTCTCTCCCCCTCTTCTCTCTCCATCACCCTCTCGCTCCCCCTCTTCTCTCTCCATCACCCTCTCGCTCCCCCTCTTCTCTCTCCATCACCCTCTCGCTCCCCCTCTGCTCTCTCCATCACCCTCTCGCTCCCCCTCTTCTCTCTCCATCACCCTCTCGCTCCCCATCTCTCTCTCACCTCCCATACCCTCTCCCCCTCTCCTCATCACCCCTGCCTGCTCTCTCCATCACCCTCTCGCTCCCCCTCTTCTCTCTCCATCACCCCTCTCTCCTCCACCCCTCGTCTCTCTCTCCATCACCCTCTCGCTCCCCCTCTCGTCTTCTCTCCATCACCCTCTCGCTCCCCCTCTTCTCTCTCCATCACCCTCGCTCCCCTCTTCTCTCTCCATCACCCTCTGCTCCCCCTCTTCTCTCTCAGTCCCTCCTCTCTCTCCCCCCTTCTCTCTCCATCACCCTCTTCTCTCCCCCTCTTCTCTCTCCATCACCCTCTTCTCTCGCTCCCCCTCTTCTCTCCCTATCTCTTTCCTTATATCACCCTCCCCTCAGTGAGTTTGCTAGTGGAAGCCACCAGGCAGGCTCGGCTGGAGACGAGCTGCTGGCCAACAAGGTGCTGAAAAGGTTCAAAGACTACGACATGTACACGTGGACTGACGAGCACTATGTCAAGCTTGTGGATCCCCCTGCCTCTGGCTCCAACAGGGTGACCTTCAAAGGGTCTGACCTTGGAACACTGAGGGGATATCTGGCCTACAGCAAAACTGGAACAGCACAGGTAATCATAGAAAGAAAATCCTGTGGTTTTTGTGGTTTCGTTTTTTTGTTTACATTGAAATGAACAAATTTGTAGCATTTCAGTTGATTTCAAACTTGACAATAGAGGTGAAACTCTCACTAATAAAAGCATTTACATAATAATGTATACTATAAAACACTACATGGAAGGTATCACACATTTAGTAGTGAATTAGTCATTCAGTTCATTTTTAAGGATAATTGAAAACTACACATTGCATATCCCTTTTATTCTTCCATAATAGTACCTCCATATTTGAGCTCAAGACCTGTTTCAACTTTATTTTTGTTTTTCACAGGGCGCGATCCTTCACAGCAACTACGGCCAAATGGACGACCTGAGGAAACTGCAGGATAAGGACATTGCCTTGGACGGGAGGGTCCTTCTGGTCAAAACTGGAAAAATAAGCTTTGCTGAGAAGGTGAGGGAATTGCACAAGAAAAACATTTAATAATCTAATTTCGTAAGCATACTGCTGAATTTTAATAATAAGGTCATTGATCTCTCTTCATTTGGAGGTTTAGTGTAAGTGTGATGGGTCTAGTTTGGGTTGGCAAATCTACTGGAGCCTATGTGGACTTGATTGAATAACACAAGGTGTCGTGTCATCGCTATGTGTAAAAGTGTCCTGTTCTGTAAAAGTGTCCTGTTCTGTAAAAGTGTCCTGTTCGTCATCGCTATGTGTAAAAGTGCCCTCATCGCTATGTGTAAAAGTGTCCTGCTTTTCGCCTCCAGTCATGTCTCCCTCTTTCCTTCACTGCGTAGGTGGCCAACGCAGCCAAGCTGAATGCCTCTGCTGTGCTCATCTACCCTGCTGACGACAGGATCGGAGGGTCCACTCAGCTCTTTGGCCATGTGAGTGTGGCGGACATTTTTCTCTATGAATGTCAAATGTAGACCGACTTACATGATTTGCATTCCCAGCCGTAACTGAAGTGGAGTGGACACACAAAGACAGTTGGCTATATCAGCAGTAGCTTACGGTTTGAGACAGTTGTTGAACAGTAGTGTTCATTCTCTTGTGTTGTTTCATCATTCAGTTATGAATTATTCTTATTCAGCTCCACTCTTCTCCACCCTGAGGACACTCTCTCTATATTCTACCCAAGGGAGTGCACGTTCTTGTTCTAGCCCTGCACCAACACACCTGGGGTGTATTCACTAAAAACCAAACGGGGAGGGACCTACTTGAATTTGTTCAACAGAAACTAGTTTTTTGTTGCAGAACGCAACTGTTTGGACTAATGATTACACCCCAGATTCAACTTGGCCAGTTCAACTTATTGACAAACTCTTGATATGTTAGTGCAAGGCCAGAACAATCCCATAGGTCAAGGTTCACCCTGTCGTGTGTCTCCATATCCAGGTCCATCTTGGCTCAGGCGACCCTTACACCCCCGGGTTCCCCTCCTTCAACCATACCCAGTTTCCCCCCATCCAGTCCTCAGGCCTCCCCAGCATCCAGGCCCAGACCATCACCGCCGACATGGCCACCACTATCATGAGGTAGGTTTCCATCAACTGATCCTAGCGCTAAGTGTAGTAGAAGTTGGGCGTTGGGCCTTACACACATATCTAGGATCAGCATACCATTCCTATCCTAAGGGTTAAAACGTGAAACTGATCACAAAATCTTTGTCTGGAAACTCAGGGGGATGGAGGGGAAAAACGCCCCTACAGGTTGGGTAGGGGTAGGAAAAGTGGGAGATGATGACGATGTGGTCACGGTGGAGGTCAACAACGTCCTGGCCGAGAAGATGATCAACAACGTGTTTGGAGTCATCAAAGGCTTTGTGGACCCAGGTATGGTTGACCTATGACCCTGTGGAAAGAAACATGACAGTCCCCAGTGTTGTATAGTTCTTAGGTAATTGGACTGCAGCTTTGGGGTCAGTTTAATTTCAAATGCATCAAGTTGGTAGATTAATTGAAATTCAATGTGTGAATTGATACATAGTCCTGATCTGAAAGAATGAACCATTTTTCATTTCATGAACATAATTTCCGTTAATGTCCCCACATTTTAAGGGAAATAAAATGGGATTGACTCCAATTTGAAAGGGTAACTGCTATTGTTTAGCATCACAAAGCCCATTGGTGAAGACTATAATAATATATAAAGAGCTGCAGTTAGTTTCAGAATGGGTGGCAAGGAATAAGTTAGTCCTAAATATTTCAAAAACTAAAAGCATTGTATTTGGGACAAATCATTTACTAAACCCTAAACCTCAACTAAATCTTGTAATGAATAATGTGGAAATTGAGCAAGTTCAGGAGACTAAACTGCTTGGAGTAACCCTGGATTGTAAACTGTCATGGTCAAAACATATTGATACAACAGTAGCTAGGATGGGGAGAAGTCTGTCCATAATAAAGCGCTGCTCTGCCTTCTTAACAACACTATCAACAAGGCAGGTCCTAAAGGCTTTAGTTTTATCGCACCTGGACTACTGTTCAGTCATGTGGTCAGGTGCCACAAAGAAGGACTTAGGAAAATTGCAGTTGGCTCAGCACAGGGCAGCACGGCTGGCCCTTTGATGTACACAGAGAGCTTACATTAATGATATGCATGTCAATCTCTCCTGGCTCAAAGTGGAGGAGAGATTGACTTCATCACTACTTGTATTTGTGAGAGGTATTGACATGTTGAATGCACCGAGGTGTCTGTTTGAACTACTAGCACACAGCTCGGACACCCATGCATACCCCACAAGACATGCCACCAGAGGTCTCTTCACAGACCCTAAGTCCAGAACAGACTATGGGAGGCACACAGTACTACATAGAGCCATGACTACATGGAACTCTATTCTACATCAGGTAACTGATGCCAGCAGTAGAATAGAAGTACACCTTATGGAACAGCAGGGACTGTGAAGCAACACAAACATAGACACTTGCATACACACACACACTATAACATATGCACTATACACACATGTACACATGGATTTTGTGTTATAGATATGTGGTGGTAGAGGCCTGAGCGGACACACTTAAATTTGTTGTGAAATCTGTTGTATGAATGTATTGTGATGTTTTTTAAATGTATAACTGCCTCAATTTTGCTGGACCCCAGGAAGAGTAGCTGCTGCCTTGGCAGGAGCGACTGGGGATCCATAATAAATACAAAACTGTCTTAATCCTTTACACCTTTTTAAATATGCTGTGTCTCTGCCTTCCTTGCTGTAGATCGTTATGTGGTTATGGGTGCCCAGAGGGATGCTTGGGGCCCAGGCTTCGCCAGCTCCACCGTAGGCACCTGTGTGTTGGTGGAGTTGGCCCGCGCCATCTCAGACATGGTGAAAAATGGTGGGTGATGATAGATGCCAGGCCAAACCATAGAAATGCCATAGAATAGACAGAATGGATACAGGTCTCTACTCTAAATCGGCAGGTAGCCTAGCGGTTAAGAGCGTTGGACCGGTAACCGAAAGGTCGTTGGTTCGAATCTCCAAAGCGACTAGGTGAAAAATATGTGCCCTTTGAGCCAGGCACTTAACCCAAATTGCTCCTGTAAGCCGCTCTGGATAAAAGCGTCTGCTAAATGACTAAAATGTAAATGTACGTTTTATAGACAGAATGGATATACAGTATAGGTCTCTTCTGTACTGCCTTGAGCTTTCAATCAGTTCTCTCATGTGTTCATGTAGTGTCTGGGGTTAATTCTAACGTATTCCATAAATCTCAAGGAGCATTTTTGTCAATTAAGTCATATTTTAGGTGACCATGGGGTTCTGTTAACATTAACTGAGCACATTACTGGAGAAGTCTTAAAGATATAAAAAAAGGGGGGCCTATAGCTAAACCTAGTTAGAATCAGAATCACCTTTTATTCACCAAGTACATTTACATGTACCAGGAATTTGACCCGGTGAAGTAAGTGGCGCTGACCGTCTCTTACAATTTAACAATAAATACACAGACCGAATATAGACCGAGATTGTATACAATATGCCATTTAGCAACGTACAGCGCCATGCCTACAGCTGAGCTGTCACACTCTACATGCAGTACGTAGAGTACCAGTCAAATGTTTGGACACACCAGGCTTTTTCTTTTATTCTGCAATGTAGAAAATTGTAAACATTATAGTGAAGACATCAAAACTATGAAATAACACAATGGAATCAGTAGTAACAAAAAAAAGTGTAAACAATCAAAATATATTTGAGATTCTTCAAATCACCCTTTGCTGAAACGCTTGTTCTAGCTAAAGCTAACCATGGAAGCTTCCAAAGGAGTTCCCACATATGCTGAGCACTTGTTGGCTGTGTTTTTCCTTACTCTCCTGTTCCCAACTCATCCCAAAACCATCTCAATTGGGTTGAGGTCAGGGTGATTGTGCAGGCCAGGTCATCTGATGCAGCACTCCATCACTCTCCTTATTGGTAAAATTGCCCTTACACAGCCTGGAGGTGTGTTGGGTCATTGTCCTGTTGAAAAACAAATGATAGTCCCACTAAACCCAAACCAGAAGGGATGGCGAATCGCTGCAGAATGCTGTGGTTGCCATGCTGGTTAAGTGTGCCTTGAATTCTAAATAAGTGTCACCAGCAAAGCACCATAACACCACCTCCTCCATGATTTACGGTGGGAACTACACATGCGGAGATCATCCGTTCACCCACACCGCATCTCACATAGACACAGCGGTTGGAACCACAAATCTCAAATTTGGACTCCAGACCAAAGGACACATTTCCACCGGTCTAATGTCCATTGCTCGTGTTTCTTGGACCCAAGCAGGTCTCTTCTTCTTATTGGTGTCCTTTAGTAATGGTTTCTTTGCAGCAATTTGACCATGAAGGCCTGCTTTCACACAGTCCCCTCTGAACAGTTGATGTTGAGATGTGTCTGTGACTTGAACTCTGTGAAGCATTTATTTGGGCTGCAAATTTCTGAGGCTGTTAACTCTAATGAACTTATCCTCTGCAGCAGAGGTAAATCGGGGTCTTCCATTCCTGTGGCGGTCCTCATGAGAGCCTGTTTCATCATAGTGCTTGATGGTTTTTTGTGGCTGCACTTGAAGAAACGTTCAAAGTTCTTGAAATGTTCCGTTTTGACTGATCTTCATGTCTTAAAGTAATGATGGACTGTCGTTTCTCTTTGCTTATTTGAGCTATTCTTGCCATAATATGGACTTGGTCTTTTACCAAATAGGGCTATCTTCTGTATACCCCCCTACCTTGTCACAACACAACTGATTGACTCAAACGCGTTAAGAAGGAAAGAAATTCCACAAATGAACCTTTTAAGAAGGCACACCTGTTAATTGAAATGCATTCCAGGTGACTATCTCATGAAGCTGGTTGAGAGAATGCCAAGAGTGTGCAAAGCTGTCATCAAGGCAAAGGGTGGCTATTTGAGGAATCTCAAATAAAATATATTTTGATTTGTTTAACACTTTTTTGGTTACTACATGATTCCATGTGTTATTTCATAGTTTTGATGTCTTCACTATTATTCTACAATGTAGAAAAATAGTACAAATAAGGAAAAACCCTTGAATGAGTAGGTGTGTCCAAACGTTTGACTGGTAGTGTACGTAACAGTACAGATATAGTGAGCAATAAAATTGAACGATAGCACATAATACAAGAAAAATATATCCCCATAGCCTGTAAGGAGGCAACCAACTGCGGATGATGATGATGATGATGATGATGATGATGATGCCTGTCTTTTTTCCCTCTGACAGATGGCTTCAAGCCCAGGAGGAGTATCGTGTTTGCCAGCTGGAGTGCTGGAGAGTATGGGAGTGTTGGCGCCACAGAGTGGTTGGAGGTAAGAACAGCACACTTGATATCAATGCAAACCTTAGAACAAAAACGTTTTTTGTTTTTTTACTTGAGTATGTGTCTCAACCAATGATTTATGCCTTCAGAAAGTATTCACACCCCTTAACTTTTTCCACATTTTGTTGTGTTACAGCCTGAATTTTAAATGGATTACATTTCATGTTTTGTTACTGGCCTACACACAATACCCCATAATGTCAAAGTGGAATAATGTTTAGACATTTTTACAAATAAATGAAAAGCTGAAATATCTTGTGTCAAGTATTCAATCCCTTTTATGGCAAGCCTTAATAAGTCCAAGAGTAAAAAATCTATTTTTTCTACAACAAGTCACATAATAAGTTGCATGGACTCACTCTGTGTGCAATAATAGTGTTGAACACAATTTTTGAATGACTACCTCATCTCTGTACCCCACACATACAGATAATTGTAAGGTCCCTCAGTCGAGCAGTGAATTTCAAACACAGATTCAACAACAAAGACCAGGGAGGTTTTCCAATGCCTTGCAAAGAAGGGCACCTATTGGTAGATGGGTAAAAATAGTGAAAAGGAAGAGCCTGTACAGAATACAAATATTTGTCCTGTTTGCAACAAGGCAGTAAAGTAATACTGCAAAAAATGTGGCAAAGCAATCACTTTTTGTTCTGAATACAAAGTGTTATGTTTGGTGACTGAGATGAATTCACCTTTCAGCAGGCCAATGACCTAAAACACAAGGCCAAATATACACTGGAGTTGCTTACCAAGAAGACAGTGAATGTTCCTGAGTGACCGAGTTACAGTTTTGACTTGAATCTGCTTGAAAATATATAGCAAGACTTGAAAAAGGGTTGTCTAACAATGATCAACAACCAATTTGACAGAGCTTGAAGAATTTTGAAAATAATAAATGGGCAAATATTGTACAATCCAGGTGTGCAAAGCTCTTAGAGACTTAACCAGAAAGACTCACAGCTGTAATCGCTGGCAAAGGTGATACTAACATGTATTAACTCAGGGGTGTGAATACTTATGTAAATGAGATTTCATTTTCAATAAATGTGCATTTAAAAAAAAAAAAGTGTTATTATGGGGTATTGTGTGTAGATGGGGTGAGAGAGGAAAATATATTTAATCCATTTTGAAGTCAGGCTGTAACACAACAAAATGTAGAATAGGTCAAGGGGTATGAATACTCTCTGAGGGCACTGTATACACTAGCTGACTGATAAGTGGCGCTCTTTCGCAGCCACCGCTCCTCCATCTTGGAACTCCCCCACCATTGTAAATAAATATTTTGAAAGCTATAGAAATGAATTCATTAATGTACATTTTGTTTTCGCCATGTTTATTCTATTGGACACCTTAATGCATTTTACATTTTAAATTATATTATGTGAGCTAAACATATCTTTAAAAAATATATTTTCCCTTAACTTTTAGCAAGTTCTAGGGCTCTATATTTTTCAGCTGCCGGTAAGCCGGCGCAATTGTCAAACGCACGCTAGTTTTCAACTTTGACCTGTTTTTGAAGCCGGCGTTCTTCTATTTTCTAATCCCTCGCGCCAGGATTGGTGATTTACCTGTCTTTATATGAGCTCACTGGCGCTGAGGTGGGAGGGCATGGCAATATCTGAGGTGTGTTCCTAAAAACGTGTGCCAATTTCAGTATGCAATGGTGGGGGATATTTAAGACCAACCGAAAGCTGGTCTTAGCGGTAACACCGTTTTTGTTTATGGCATGGATTTTGACAACTGAAGCGCAACCTATCAAGCTGTGGCGCTCAGTGCCCATATGCACATGGAACAAGAGATGTGCATTTTGTATCGATCCACAATGGACTAGGACAAGAATATTCCATGCCCCCAGCCGAATTGGAGTGGATGACAATGCAAAGACTGTCAATAACCTACAGAACTTGAGACAAACACATTCAGTTTTAAGCCATGGAACGCCTTGATTGGCCCAGTGAGTGGCCAAACCCTCGTCACACCTACAACTTGTTTATTCATCAAAACCCAGCCCTTTCACGCCACCGCCAGCTATTGTGCTGTGGGTAATAGTTAAAATATTTTGGACACGCCCATGGATCTATAGCACTAACGCCAGCGCTTAGATTTACCGTTGCGTTAGGTTTGTTAAAAAGAGCCCCTGTTGATACTGTCCCCACTACAACAACAACAAATACTTTAAATACATGTCATTTTGTCCTAGAAACATTTAATTGGCTGAGGAGTGCCAATAATGGCCGACCCGGTGGCTTCAAAGCCTCTCATTGGCCAATACGTGGCATCATCAATCCAGGTTTTATATACATTTATATACAACTCGTTTCTGTTTTCAGGGTTATTTGTCTTCTCTGAACATGAAAGCCTTCTCTTACATCAACCTGGATGGAGTTGTAACAGGCATGTATGGTGTATTAGATTTCTGTACACAGAATGCATTGTGTTTTGGTTTGTGGCAATGACAGTTTACAGTTGCAAAGGTCATGCATGACAAACTATAGTAATAAGGTGAAATAGTTTCCTCTTGAATTGTAATATTTCCCCCTCCCCAGGTTTCCCAACATTCAAAGCCTCGGCCAGCCCTTTGATGTACACACTCATCCAGCGCACGCTAAAGGAGGTGAGATTACGTAGCAGCGGATTATCTCATTTGGCCTGACAGGATTTCTCTTATGTTTCATTATGAAACAGTGTCCTTGAGATGTTTTGAAACTGTGCTGTTCTTCTCCTCAGGTGAACACTCTCAGTGACTCCAGTACACTCTACGCTTCAGTCCCCGGGGCCAACTGGGAGGAAGCTGTGTAAGTGGGACTTGGTGTTATTTTGGAAGATCGTAACAGTGTGGCTCGATGGGCCAAGTCAATTATTTATTCTAGTGCAGCTCCCAACACAAAGTTGAATTGCTTATAGAATGAGGGGAAATTTCACCACCATCTTTGTATGATTGTGTAGTCATGTTGTCTTTATTTGGTGTTTTTCAGCCTGGAGCCTCTGAGGCTAAATGATCCCGCCTATCCCTTTGTCACCTTCTCCGGCATCCCATCCGTCTCATTCCGCTTCTCCAAAGCGGTCAGTTTGGTCTCAGCAGTACAACACCATACACATAGAAATAGTAATTTTAGAACCCCTATACTCAACTGGCAGACCGCGGTCTGGATCTGGACCCACAACATGGTCAATACGGGCCGGGGGTCCTGATTTATTTTATTTTTTGGGGGGGGGGGAACTCGGTTGGGCTTCGACCCCTGGTATCATATAAACATACACAAGACATGGACAAATGTGTAGAATTGCAGGAAATTAGCTTTAAAACGGCAACATTTTCTCTCCAACAACAGGGGTGTAAACAGTTTGCATGGGTTGTGAGGTGGGGGTTTGTAACTACTCCGATCAATGACAGTATCCAGCCGGACCTTTGCCACCTAGGGAATTTGTGTAACCGGACCTTCTCAAATAGTACTTGAGTATCCCTGCTATAGAAGGTCCTCCTCAGGACTGGAGAATCAGGTCCTGTCAGGGAAACTTTCCATATCTCTGCTCCAAGATGGCGCCGGAACCACAAAAATTAGGTCCTTGATCCCATTCCTGTCAGATTCCACTGTTCGATCGGGCTTGGCATTGAAATGATCTAAAATGTCTGGTGTAATATGACCGGTAACTCTATTTCTATGACAACACAATATATCCCAACAAATGTTATTGCTACCTGTTGTTATTTTCCACATATTGAGGAATGCCAGTCATTGTTTAGCATTCGATTTCTACCTGTAATTGTTGACGTTCTTTACCCTTAACCTTACCCACCATGTGTCTCAGGGTGAGGAATACCCATACTTTGGGACACTGCAGGATACACGCGAGAAGCTGTATGGCGCCACATCCAACCAGGCGGCCAAGCTGGCGGTGTCTGCAGGGGAGTTCGCCGGGAAAATGGCCCTGCGGCTGGTCCACGACCACCTGCTGCGCCTGGACGTGGAGCAGTACATCCGCCAGATCCGCACCCACGTGTACACCATTAACCGCAAGGTCAAAAACGTGCGGAGTGTAAGTTTACATTTACGTAATTTAGCAGACGCTCTTATCCAGAGCGACTTACAAATTGGTGCATTCACCTTATAGCCAGTGGGATAACCACTTTACAATATGTTATTTAATTTTTTTTGGGTGGGGTAAGGTGGGGTAGAAGGATTACTTTATCCTATCCCAGGTATTCCTTAAAGAGGTGGGGTTTCAAGTGTCTCCGGAAGGTGGTGAGTGACTCAGCTGTCCTGGCGTCGTGAGGGAGCTTGTTCCACCATTGGGGTGCCAGAGCAGCGAACAGTTTTGACTGGGCTGAGCGGGAACTGTGCTTCCGCAGAGGTAGGGGGGCCAGCAGGCCAGAGTTGGATGAACGCAATGCCCTTGTTTGGGTGTAGGGACTGATCAGAGCCTGAAGGTACGGAGGTGCCGTTCCCCTCGCAGCTCCGTAGGCAAGCACCATGGTCTTCTAGCAGATGCGAGCTTCAACTGGAAGCCAGTGGAGTGTGCGGAGGAGCGGGGTGACGTGAGAGAACTTGGGAAGGTTGAACACCAGACGGGTTGCGGCATTCTGGATGAGTTGTAGGGGTTTAATGGCACAGGCAGGGAGCCCAGCCAACAGCGAGTTGCAGTAATCCAGACGGGAGATGACAAGTGCCTGGATTAGGACCTGTGCCGCTTCCTGTGTAAGGCAGGGTCGTACTCTCCGAATGTTGTAGAGCATGAACCTACAGGATCGGGTCACCGCCTTGATGTTAGCGGAGAACGACAGGGTGTTGTCCAGGGTCACGCCAAGGCTCTTCGCACTCTGGGAGGAGGACACAACGGAGTTGTCAACCGTGATGGCGAGATCATGGAACGGGCAGTCCTTCCCCGGGAGGAAGAGCAGCTCCGTCTTGCCGAGGTTCAGCTTGAGGTGGTGATCCGTCATCCACACTGATATGTCTGCCAGACATGCAGAGATGCGATTCGCCACCTGGTTATCAGAAGGGGGAAAGGAGAAGATTAGTTGTGTGTCGTCTGCGTAGCAATGATAGGAGAGGCCATGTGAGGATATGACAGAGCCAAGTGACTTGGTGTATAGCGAGAATAGGAGAGGGCCTAGAACTGAGCCCTGGGGGACACCAGTGGTGAGAGCACGTGGTGCGGAGACAGATTCTCGCCACGCCACTTGGTAGGAGCGACCGGTCAGGTAGGACGCAATCCAAGAGTGAGCCGCGCCGGAGATGCCCAGCTCGGAGAGGGTGGAGAGGAGGATCTGATGGTTCACAGTATCAAAGGCAGCAGACAGGTCTAGAAGGACAAGAGCAGAGGAGAGAGGGTTAGCTTTAGCAGTGCGGAGAGCCTCCGTGACACAGAGAAGAGCAGTCTCAGTTGAATGACCAGTCTTGAAACCTGACTGGTTTGGATCAAGAAGGTCATTCTGAGAGAGATAGCAAGAGAGTTGGCTGAAGACGGCACGCTCAAGAGTTTGAGAGAAAAGAAAGAAGGCATACTGGTCTTTAGTTGTTGACATCAGAGGGATCGAGTGTTGGTTTTTTGAGAAGGGGTGCAAATCTCGCTCTCTTGAAGACGGAAGGGACATAGCCAGCGGTCAAGGATGAGTTGATGAGCGAGGTGAGGTAAGGGAGAAGGTCACCGGAGATGGTCTGTAGAAGAGAGGAGGGGATAGGGTCAAGCGGGCAGGTTGTTGGGCGGCCGGCCGTCACAAGTCGCAAGATTTTATCTGGAGAGAGAGGGGAGAAAGAAGTCAAAGCATAGGGTAGGGCAATGTGAGCAGGACCAGCAGTGTCATTTGACTTAACAAACGAGGATCGGATGTCGTCAACCTTCTTTTCAAAATGGTTGACGAAGTCATCCACAGAGAGGGAGGAGAGGGGGGAGGGGGAGGAGGATTCAGCAGGGAGGAGAAGGTGGCAAAGAGCTTCCTAGGGTTAGAGGCAGATGCTTGGAATTTAGTGGTAGAAAGTGGCTTTAGCAGCAGAAACAGATGAAGAAAATGTAGAGAGGAGGGAGTGAAAAGATGCCAGGTCCGCAGGGAGTCTAGTTTTCCTCCATTTCCGCTCGGCTGTCCGGAGCCCTGTTCTGTGAGCTCGCAATGAGTCATCAAGCCACGGAGCAGGAGGGGAGGACCGAGCCGGCCGGGAGGATAGGGGACATAGAGAGTCAAAGGATGCAGAAAGGGAGGAGAGGAGGGTTGAGGAGGTAGAATCAGGAGATTGGAGGGAGAAGGATTGAGTGGAGGGAAGAGATGATAGGATGGAAGAGGAGAGAGTAGCGGGAGAGAGAGGGCGACGGTTGCGACGGCGCATTACCATCTGAGTAGGGGCAGAGTGAGTAGTGTTGGAGGAGAGCGAGAGAGAAAAGGATACAAAGTAGTGGTCGGAGACATGGAGGGGAGTTGCAGTGAGATTAGTAGCTCAAGCGTATTGCCTGCCTTGTGAGTAGGGGGGGACGGTGAGAGGGTGAGGTCAAAAGAGGAGAGGAGTGGAAAGAAGGCGGCAGAGAGAATTGAGTCAAAGGTAGACGTAGGGAGGTTGAAGTCACCCAGAACTGTGAGGGGTGAGCCATCCTCAGGAAAGGAACTTATCAAGGCGTCAAACTCATTGATGAACTCTCCAAGGGAACCTGGAGGGCGATAAATGACAAGGATGTTAAGCTTGAATGGGCTAGTGACTGTGACAGCATGGAATTCAAATGAGGAGATAGACAGATGGGTCAGGGGAAAAAGAGAGAATGTCCACTTGGGAGAGATGAGGATTCCTGTGCCACCACCCGCTGACCAGATGCTCTCGGGGTATGCAAGAACACATGGTCAGACGAGGAGAGAGCAGTGTTTTCAGTGGTAATCCATGTTTCCGTCAGCGCCAAGAAGTCGAGGGACTAGAGGGTAGCATAGGCTGAGATTAACTCTGCCTTGTTGGCAGCAGAACGGCAGTTCCAGAGGCTGCCTGAGACCTGGAAGGCTGCCTGAGACCTGGAACTCCACGTGGGTGGTGCGTGCAGGGACCACCAGGTTAGAGAGGCAGCAGCCACGCGGTGTGAGGCGTTTGTATGGCAGAGAGGAGAGAACAGGGATAGACAGAGGCATAGTTGACAGGCTACAGAAAATGGCTACAATAATGCAAAGGAGATCGGAATGAAATGAACTAAACATCTGGGAAAGGAGAGAGCGGGGCCTCCCTCACTTACGTTTCACTGAAACACCCAAATATAACTCTCCCAACTTCCACCTCAGAAACTATAATTGTTGTAAACTACAGCGGTTCAATGTTTTCTAGGAATAGACTAACTTAGTTTATTCAGCTAGCTAACTTGGTACAGTATTCTTCCGTGAAAATCGTCCAGGGCACCTAGTCATATGACGCCACAGCCAACTAGCATGCCGGACTCCAACAACACGGTTTAGCACCAATACTCGGCCACAACAAACCACCAGTGTGTCAACACGCCAAGCAGATCATTCGTGTCCGTGTCTAACGTTGTGGGTTAGTCCCGACAGCTTGAGCGAGTCCGTCATCAACTTATTCAGCCAGTTAGTTAGCTAGAATAGTTAGCATACTAGCTAGCCTTTGCTTTCAGACAAAGAAGAAACCCGTCCTCCCACGGCACGAACACACAGAGAGAGCCAAGCTAACGTTAACTAGTCACCCATGTCCCGAATTCCCTTGAACGACTCTGGCTACCAGTATGTCAAAACAAAACACAAATGTAGGTTTTACTTACCCCTAGCAGCTACTGTTAGCTAGCCAAGTGCAAAGCTAGCCACTGAATTGACTCAGCCAGTTCGCTAGGTCGTTCCAGCTATTGTTTACTAGTAGCTATCCAGGTAGCAACAAGCTAGCTAAATTTCAAGCACAGTAGCCACTTACTACCTAACGTTAACGCTTCAGACAATGAGGTTAGAAAAACAGCTGAATGGTAGGCATTATTGTATGTAATTATTGTAGGCAGCTAGCTGGCGTAATTACAGGTACTCTCAGGCGTGAAACAACTATCCACAGTTGCTAATAGTTACCAGTAGCTACCCGCCAGCTAGTCCAGGTAGTGGGTTAGCTAGCTTCGTGCTTCACCGGGCTCAGCCGAATACAATACTAACCTACAACAACCCACGATAACTACCTACAATACCTAACTACAATCTAAATACATAGTTTAAGCTTTACTCGACAAAGCCCAAACTATGTATATAAGCCAAGCTTACCTCCCGCCAGAGAGAGACACAACCTCACCCGACGACGACGAAAACACACGTCAGACCTACAGTGCATTCGGAGAGTATAAGTCTAGTCCTATCTGCTTAATTTCAGCGCAGAGCGGCTCGGCAAGCGGGAAAGGACATGTTCACTGTCTGGTAACGTGAACTTGGTGGAATGGGATAAGACACTGTAGATTTAGAATGACAGAAAATTATATAATTTGATGTTTAGTCTACCTGTCGTCTTGTTTTCCTGTCCATGTCTACCGGTCTATGATTTTGTTTTGTTTTCTGCATTGTTTATTCTGTCTCTCAAATTGACCTCCGTTTGACCCGGTGCTTGTTTTGTCTATGTTCTCATTTCTCCTTTGATCTTAACTTGTTGTTGTCGTCTCCAGATGCAGCCCCAGCTGTTGCCTAAGTCGCTGACTGTCCAGTGGCTGATGTCTGCGTCGGGCTCCTACAGCCGAGCCGCCAGCAGCCTGACCACTGACATCGACAACAGCGACCTGGAGGACGTGGAGATGTGCCGCATCATCAACGACCGCATCATGAGTGTGCGTGTCTGTCCTCTCAAGCGTTATCTGGTCCTTTTGAGATGATATTTTGTTGGAATTGGACCATGTACAGCAGGGTTAGGGTTACAGTGCCTTCAGAAAGTGTTCACACCCCTTTACTTTTTACACAGTTTGTTACAAAGTTGGATTAAAATGGATTTGTCCTTTTTTTAAAGTGGAAGAAAAATTAATATTTTGTAAAGTAAAATCAAATAATATATATATATATATATATATATATATATATATATATATATATATATATATATATATATATATATATATATATATATTAATTATAATATATATGATTAAGTATTTTGGCTGCAGGCCAAAAGTATGAACTTCAAGTATTTTGAAAAATGATGACACCAATAGGGAGATGACCCACTAATTTGGAGAATTTCCAAGATCCTACATTAGCCTGTTTTTTGAAGTTCCTCCACACATGGTTCATCGTGTAACCTTGGGTGGAGGACGATACTGACACATTTAATCACGTCTGTTTTATTTACCTTACTTCATCTTCCTCCTGTAGGTGGAGAGGGACTTCCTGTCCCCATACGTGTCTCCCAGAGAGACCCCATTCCGCCACATCCTGGTAGGCTCGGGCTCCCACACCCTGAAGGCTCTGTCGGACCACCTGGACGCCCTGCAGATCGACCACTCCGACGCCAACGCTGATCTGTTCCGGAATCAGTTTGCTTTGGCAACCTGGACCATCCAGGGCTGCGCCAACTCACTGGCAGGGGACATCTGGTCCTTAGATAACGAGATCTAAGCCGGTTTCGACATGTCCTATTAAACAAAACACCCAATATAGCCATCGGTCAGATCACTAAGGTTCACCCATTCAGGAAAACTAAGTATCAATAACATAACCCTTTTTTTCGTATGCATTGCAACTCTCGACAGTACGATATGCTGTACTCTACCTTCCACACAAGGTCAAAATAATAACACTGAAATTCAACTGCCTTCACTTGTTTGAGAAATATGTGAAAAGCCATTCACTCTTGCGAAAAAAAACAACTCAAATGCATTTCCTAACGCCGCATTTGAAATATATTGGTGGTAAATACGAATGACTAATGGCCTACATATGTCATAGTACTTACTAGCATGGCAATAACGACGTTTTAGCCCAATATCCAAGGTCACAAACACCTAAGTTGTGTGTGTGTGTGTGTAAACTCAGAGGTACTTTGCGATTACAACAAAAAGGTTATGTTACTATTACCTACCATGAACAAAATTACTATTGTTACAATCCGAGACTGCTGTTATTTCTACACTCTTGTTACTTTACATTGGATTCAAACCTGGGCTGTTTATAGATATTATGGTGCTAAAACTGTAGAATGAGAGAGGCTGAGAGCTGTTGCCAAATGGGCTACAATTCAGTTCAGACGGTAACACAGAATAGGTCGTTATCCTTAAAACGTCACAAGAAGGTAAAGGGTGTTCAATTTGCCTGCTTGGGGTCAAGGAGACCCCAGCTCCGCTAAAACCACGGACAACTGCATGCCCTTTTCAAGGGATCGTTAACAATTTGGAGAGCATAGATCAGAACTACACATTTCTGATCATTCCTTGCAAAACAATTGCGCACATTTAGCTCTCATCAGTTTTATACAGCAAGTAACTGCATGGTTTTCATATCAGTAAACATCAATTGATCATGTAATTTCAAATACGTGAGGGTAGCCTCACGATATCTCTCAATATTGGCCACCATTCATTGGATATTTAAGTGCTATAAAAGTTAACTAAACCAGACAAATATGAGTGGTTTAGGTTAATTTCCCCATCCTTTGTGGGCTCTGCCTGTCAAGCAGCAGAAGGGCGCATTTGCAGATGTACTGGTAGCTGGTAGTGTTTATATTGCAAGCTAACGGTAGAAACGTTGTACAGTTGGCTAAACAAGTAGACCTAATGTACTTTTTTCTCCAACCAATGTAGGCCTACCTAGTGAAGTTACCTAGCATCCCCTTTTCAACAATGTTTTTAAGAGTTTAATCATGATTGCTTCTGACATAATAAGCTACATTGATTGATGGACCACGTCAAAATGGCTAGCTAGGTAATAACAGATCACGTCAATGTGGCTGGTTAACAAGCTAATTTTCAGGGGATAGACTAGATGACTGTATCCAAATATTGTTTGCCTGCCATCTATTATGGTGATGACAGTAGTCTGACTGACAACTTTACCAGGACGAGGCCTTAACAATGTCAAACTCTTTCCTAAAGCCTAATCTCTGATGAAGCAAGCTAAAAGTATGAAAATGTATGCACTCACTAACTGACAAAAAAAAAAAAAAAAAAACTAATTCGCTCTGGATAAGAGCGTCTGCTAAATGACTAAAAAATGTTAAAAAATAAAATAAAAAAAGTAAATGACAGTTTGCTTAGCTAGCTACATGCCAAATGGCTAGGCTACCTACCCTCACGCATCTTTAATTACATGATAATAAATTGATGTTTAGTGACCATGAAAAGCATGCAGTGACTGCTAAATGTGCAATAATCGGAAATGTGTAGTTCTGACTATACTCTTCAAGAGGTGATGATATTAAAACCAAATAGTTAACATTGATTTAACAATCCCTTAAACTGCACATAGTTGTCAATGGTTTTAGCGGTGCTGGGGTCTCCTTGCCCCCCAGCTGTGAAATCGAACGCTCTGCACCATATTGCGATGCTTTATTGATAACGACCTATTGACCCTTCACTAAGCCCCGGTTTCTGTTGCAACCGGGAAGCCCAATTCGTCATTCAACCACTGGCGAAATCTTCTCACAATGACCTCAAACTGTGTTTCTAATACACAATGAAATGTAACAGACTACCCCTTGCTAATCAGGAAACGCTTGGGTATGTTGTGGTGGACTGTCGTTACAATTGCTTCACGGGAACCTGGTAAAATTATGTTTGTAGTTTAGCTATACACTGAATGGCTTTGAATTCACTGTCAGCATGCAGTTAAAGCTATAACCACTTTTGGAGCTGACTAGGGCCCTCAAATCTTATCCTGATGTCGACAGCAGATGTGAGTTGTATTCATAACATTGTTAATTTAGCTAGCTAACATACACTTTGAGAAAACATGTTAGCTAGCGTTAGCAACCTTTGGTGGTCAGAGACAGAGCTAGCTAACCAGCTGAGCTAACAAACAAAAGTATAATTTTGGATACAAAAAATACGCCAACATGCTCTGTATTTCAGGAATCACAGTAGCAAGTATTCCTGGTGCACTGTTCAAATATTTAGCCATTTTAAGAAAGTTTGAAAAACTCTTGTTTTTTCCATAGCGGGGTTGGTTGTTTAGCAACAAAATCGAAGCATGCGCAACTATGGGGAAAACAGACTGGGTTGGCTTAGATGGTTGACAACAAAGTATATTTAGTCTCCAATATTTACTAAAAACACAAGTTAATTTGCACAATGAGCAATTGTCTCAAATACATTGTTAGTTGTTTGTTAGCTAGTGAATATTAGCCATGTTAGCATTGACATGAAATAAGTCAAAACACCTTAAAACAAGACATATTATCAAGAACAAGATGAAACTAGCTGAAACGAGTCACTTACGATTTCCCTCATGGCAGTTTCTTGACATTGTTGGTAGCTATCTGGCCATCCAGAATCACAACAACTCAGACTTATGCCCCATTCAAGCCTGCGCACGTTTTCGTGATGTTGTCAGCTAACCCATCTGTAGCCCTCACCTTATTTCATGCGATTTAAACGTGAGCTGGTCAGAGGTGTCTGATTTAACGACATTTCTGCGATTGGTTGCCAAAAATTATACAGCGTGGTTTAGCGAAGGGTCAATTGAACCACATAAAGTGAGACAATCAAACCTAGTTACTGATGTTCAGTTGTCCTTAGACCTAAAGGCTAATTCCCTTGTTTTTTTTTACGCCTCAAGCAACATCTTCCTTACACCACGTTTGTGAGCTCTCCAAATGGCCTCCTGCTGACATGAATACAATAGTGATATGACTTTTAAACCTGGCAGAGAAAGGGCCTTCACCACGTGGCACTGAAAAGGTCTATTTATTTCCTTGTTTATTTATCAGTGACAGGGTTCACTATAAATAGTTTTTTGTACTACTTTTTTAAACATGTATAATTATCGGGAGCAGTGTCTTCCATAATTATGACAGTAATACTGTCGAAATGACAAAGCAGCATCTGCTATGGAAGTGTACCTGTCAGACCGACTAACCCATACTAGAGACCTGCCAGTACCTTAGTCCATTCAGTCATCTACATCACAACCGACTGCAGGTCTTGCGAGTTAACTCAAACTGACATTCAAAAGACATTGAAAACAGCACAACAGACGTTTGTTGTGTAATTGCCTTTTTTTTTTTTTTTTGATTAACACAAAACTCAAGGCGGTTTCTAGTACAGGTCTCTTGGTGAACGTACACTTTCTCATCCTGAAACATTATCGGGAGCAGTGTCTTCCATAATGTGAAGAAGAAGGTAGTTTTTGTCTACCAGCGTGTCTATATCGGAGGCAGCGACCTCCATATTTCACTGTAGGGTGGATGTGATTATTATCGGGAACAGTGTTTCCCATAATGTTGTGTATATAATGTTGTCTGCATCTACATCTTTTGCGGCGCGTGCCGGTCCATATCGTGTCGTCCATAACCGTGGCATAACCGTGGCACGCTATAGTCGGCTAGTAGCTGATTTCTACCAAGCGCTGTTCTTCTCGCCTTCTCTTGTTGACGTGCTTCATAAGGAACTGATTTAGTAGTGAAAACCTGAGAAATATCCATTGATTGGGTAAATGTTAAAGCTGAGACTGTGTGAACGATGTAGTCAAAGCGGTTTAATGTTTCCACAAAAAGATTGAGACCTGATGTGGGCTATCTTATTTCTTGTATGATTCTGTGCGTATGAAATTATCGGTTACACTTAACATAAAGCCTGCAGTATAATGCTTTATTACTTATTAGCATGTATGAGCCATTTATACTGTCTTATAATATGCGCTCTCTTTATGTAGGATATTTTTTAAAGGACAAAAATTGGCTGTTATTTAGTCCTGATCATTATGCGACAGATCAGAAGACATAAAGGTAGCATACATTCTTATAACAAGTCTTACAATGCCTTATAACCACATCACAATGCATTACAACCACATCACAATGCATTACAACCACATCACAATGCATTATACCTGCAGGCTTTGAATAAAGTGTGACCGAGTTACCCTTTTTTTTCCTTCATATTTTCCCCGTTGTTTTGGTCGCTGAATGTTCTGTTCTCATTAGAGGCTTAGGCTATCTGTGGCTTGTTATTTTGTGAATGGTAATAATGTAGAGAAATCCAGTTCTCTTCTCTGTGGTGTATATTGTTTTTGCTTTATCGACACTTCTTTGCAGACACTGTAGTTCTTGATTTTAAGATGTTTGAGTATAATTTGGATGCGTTTGACAGTCTGTCGTTTGTTAGCTTAAAGCTAGAATCCGCAGTTTAAACAATAAAAGGGTCGACTCTGCCTCTGTTTTGGGAAAAATGCTGGGGGATGGGCCTGGAGAAATGTAACCACTCTCAAATTCATAGACAGAGCTATGGATGCAAGGACTGACCATCCATGACATGTCTAACTCATTCCACGGAGGGCCGTGTGTCTGCGGGTTTTCGCTCCACCCTTGTACTTGATTGATTAATTAAGGTCACTAATTAGTAAGGAACTCCCCTTACCTGGTTGTCTAGGTCTTTAATTTAAAGGAAAAAACAAAAACCCGCAGA